AGTTTAACGAGGTTCATGGTGTCAAGTATGCTGCAGTGAGCAGCAGCGTGCAGCAAAGGACGGATTACACCAGTGAGAACGCAATTGGACTATCTGGGCACAGATAACGCAATCGGGCTGTCTATCACGAGTGTTAGGGGGCTGAGTATCTGCGGGGCAAAACGTGGGGGCGATAAGTCTCTATGTCGTGGAGAGCGAGCAAGCAGAGTTCTTGTACCCTGTGAAACATGACAAGCCAAGAGAAAGGCTGCCCTGTACTTCACGAAAGAAGCAACGGTGCCACAGATACGAGACATGTATTTGTATCGGATCGTATCGTATTTATTTTGAGCCTGATACCGGTATCAGTATTTCCTTGGTTGGTGAAAAAATACATTGTATCGGATTTGGATTTAAAAATGAAAAAAAAAAAAAATTCGTCTTCGTTTTTTTTCGTTTTTTCTTCAATACAGCCAAATATCTTATGTATCAAATACGGTTTTGGTGGGATCAGTCATCTGAGACGATACAGAATACATTTCTCACTTTTCAAATACGATACATGTATATGTCTCAGGAAAGTGAGACAACACAAATCCGGTATTTTTGGGTATTCCAATTCTGAGACGATACAGATAAACGCCTGATACCGTATCGTATCGTCTCTGTGGCACCGTTGAAAGAAGGGAGCCAATCTGGCAATCTGCTTCTGATAGAAAAAATGAATACAGTACTGTGCCTGCCACGGAAGAGGTCCTAAAGGGTTCTAATTACATACGATCTTTACGCGGCTATGTAGGAGTACATCATCAGGAACAACCTCCAACTCATGGGTTGCCGAACTTGGTGTACACATCATCAAGCCCAACTTGCAAGGTGTATATGTCAAGAAGCTCCCTTTGTTCACCGTCAAGTGGGCTTGATTTGTCAGGATGTCGACTCTGGCACTGTGCTTGAAGCAACTGATACTTTGCTCAGACAAATCACTAAACGTAAGTTGTAATACTTCTTCTCCTGCTCAGGGCTAAACCGGGCTGGGCTCTTGTCCCTGACCTGTGAAGGCACAACCAGGACTGACTTAAAATATTATACCCTGAATACCGTTGTCACAGACATTTGAAAAGTTTTGGCTAGATAAAACATTTATTTCAGCAAAAGAAAATTAATAGAAAATAATTAATAAAATAAAGAAATAGTAAGAATAAAATATTACCTAGATAAAACAGGAAACAGGTTTAAGGATGATGAAGAATGAAGATGAGAAATGAATAACTGTCGATGACTAGGTTAAGTGACTTAAGAAAGATAAAGAATAATTAGAATCATACACGTGAGTTCAAGAGTATAGAAAAGTAAGAAATAAGAACCTCTGAAAGTCAACCAGAATAAAGAAGTCCTCGGCGAAGATGAAAACCAGAGACTTGAGGACGATGAAGTAGAAAGAGTATAAGGAGATGAAGTGTTAAGTTGTTGGGTTGAAGTTAATAGTAATGAGATCGAAGAAGTAGAAATAATAATAAGTTATCTACGATATAGGACACAGTCAACAAAAGAGAAGAGAAAACTATGAAAGAGAAAGCAATGGTCAACAGATAGATAGAGGAACTAGTACGAGAAACATCCAGCTGTGTAAGATCACGCTCCTCATCCTATGACATCATAAGATGTATGCGCCGCTCCTATGACATCACACGATGTAGTCCCAACTCCGTGAACCAGATTCCAACACACCCCCATGCACCAAACCGCTAAGGTGGGGGCATACCTGCACGAAGAACCTTGAGTACTTTGAAAATTGAACTTCGACCAATTGACTTCGTCAGAAAGTCCGCCAGCATTAAGTGAGTACGCTTGAAGGTTAATACAATGTTCTTTGCGATTATTTTGGCTCGAATGAAGTGGTAGCAAAGATTCATATGTTTCGTCTTGAACGCTGAGTGATTTGACTCGTTATTAGCCAGCAGTATAGCTCCTTGATTGTCTTCAAAAATTTCAAAAGGAAGAGATAATGGAAGTTTAAGTGCCGAGTCGATTACCATCTTGAGCCAGAGTAATTCCTTAGAAACTTCAGTTATAGCAATGTACTCTGCTTCCATTGATGAAAGCGAAGTTGTTGATTGTTTCTTCGAGCGCCAGGAGATTAAATTATCATTCCACAAAATTAAGTAGCCAGTGGTTGATTTAGCAGTGATGTGACAGCTAGCCCAACTTGCATCAACGAATGAAACAAAATTGACTTGATCAACTGGGGTCGAGCGCAACGTAATACCGAAATCTTTTGTTCCCTTTAGATATCGAAGAGTGTGGATCGCCGCATTCCAATGCAAGATACCCGGATCTTTAAGAAATTGAGATAAACAGCCCACAGTAAAGGTTATATCTGGTCTAGTTGTCACACTTAAGTAATTAAGTGCGCCAACCAGACTACGATAGTTGACTTGTAGTTTGTTTAATTCGTCAATTTCGGCTTTA